TAATAATAATAATAATAATAATAATAAAGAAAAAGAAGGAGAAGAAGAAGAAGAAGATGAGAACTTTGAGATGGAATATTAATGTAACGATTAAACAATGATAATAACAAATGTCAAGGTTAGAGGTTCCACTAATGGTATATCAAACAAGTATAGTATAAACTCTTATTATTGAATTGGAAACCACACACAAAGGAGGTTCCAATCAGATTATATATTGTTAACATGATTACATTAGTCATCTTATTCAATTAATGCTAATACTTGTAAATCTCGTCAAGCATTCATGATTATAACTTATGTTAACAATAAATCAAGTTCCTTTCATAGCTCAGGTGTCGGTTATACCATACATTATGGGCTATGAAAGTGCCAAGCATTTGTTGTACCAAGTGTTATACAACATAAATCAAGATTAGTTATTTAACAAGCAAAGTATTAAAGAGTGAACAAGATAACAAATATAAAACATGTTAGTATCAAACATTAAAGTTCATATTAAGTTTACATTATACTTATTCTTACACCATTAGTGTAACCTTTTCACCTTGACATAATTAACTTAGCTAGACATAATGAAAGAAAGCAAAATAGATAAACAAAATAAGAACATAAAAGTTAACTAAGTAAAGGAAAGGAAATGAAAGGCATAAACTTAATATTAATGAAAACAAAGCATAAAAAATACAAAGAGAGAAAGGAAGAGCATGATCTTGATCTGGAAACCAAGATGCCTAAATGCATGGAAAATGCCTCCTTTTATAGGCCAAAATTGGAAACTATTGATTTGATGACTAATTGATAAGTGGGTGGCCAACTTTTGACTTGGTGACAATCCTTATCTTCTCTTGTCTGCCCAAAACGTCATTGATAACGTCAAAATTGGAGCCAGTTGTAAACATGAAAGTTGTAGGCAATTGTCTCAGCTTTCTTGTGTAAAAATTTCAGCTCATTTGGACTTCTAGAACTCTAGATATGGCCAAAATACCGAACAGTGCTCGGGCTGGAAGACAGATTCGGGCTTCTTTGTTGTTGCTACAATTTGGACTTGATAATGGCCTTTTTAGATCTTGGGCTCCATATGAAAGTTGTAGGCCTATGTCTTACCTTTCCATCCATATAAATTGGACCTAAATCTGAGATCTGTAGCTCCAGATATGACCCAATTACCGAACAATGTTCCGGTTTGGATTGCACCGACATCTCTTTTCTAAGTTTGGCCATCTCTTTATCCTTGCAATTTAAGTTCTTCAAGTCATCAATCAATCCTTTCATTTATATGATAGGCCTGCATTAAAAATAGACATTTACCACAAATTATAGGTATCTTATATTATTAGATACATTATTATAAAACAAATTTTAGTTAAGGAGTTATTGATATTTCAAGTGCAAAATGATGATATAAAACCATGATAAAAATGCACTTTTAAGTACTAATCACCTACCTACTCCACCTGTGGTTTGTTCTTGTCTTGATGATGGTCCGATCCCGACCACACCATATAAGACAACAATGATCACAATTCAGTACATTTGTATTTTTGAATGACATTTGTCACCACACTTATTTCAAAAGTTCATATATTCACATTCAAGTGTTCCACATTTTACACCATCATACCATGAAATTATTACTAGCATTTAAGTCATTTTTGCCTAGGAGGCTTATTGTAGAAATCGGTAATGAGAACTGGTTCGCTGCAGGCTGCCAATTCAGCAGCAACAACTGTTTTGCTGTCAGCAGCCAATTCAGCAGCAAAAACTGTTTCGCTGTTGGCGTCATTGTTCCGGTAGCAGATGCTAACTCGTAGGGGACAACTCAGTTTCGGCAGCGAATCACAATTTCGCTGCAACCAACTCAACTTCGGTGGTGAATCACAAATTCACTATAGAACATGAAACTCGGTAGTGAATGTTAATTTGCTGCAGACAACTCAACTTCAGCAGTGATTCACTGCAGCTGACACAATTTCAGCAGCGAATCACAATTTTGCTACGGAACATAAAATTCAGCAGTGAATTCTAATTCACTGCAACCAACACAGTTTTGGCAACGAATGCTTCTTCGATGCAGAACACACAATTTGGCAACAAATTGTAATTCGCTGTAGAAGACTCAATTTCAGCAGCGAATCGAAATTCGCTTCAGAACACACAAGTCTGCAGCGAATGCTGATTCGCTGTAGAAGACTCAGTTTCGGCAGCGAATGCTAATTCGCTGCGGAAGACTCAATTTCAGCAGTGAATACTTATTGGCTCCGGCCGGCACATTTTCGACAGCGAATCGAAATTTGCTGCAGAACACACAATTCTGCACCAAATGCTGATTCGCTGTAGAAGACTCGGTTTCGGCAGCAAATGCTAATTCGCTGCTGCCGACACATTTTTTGCAGCAAATCGAAATTTCGCTACAAAACACCCAATTCGGCAGTGAATTCTAATTCGCTACAGAAGACTCAATTTTGACAGCTAATACTAATTCACTGTAGCCGATACAATTTCGACAGCGAATTGAAATTTCGCTGCAGAACACGCACATTGAAAACCATCAATTACAGCATATATCTTTCAATCATTCCAGCAGAATACACACATTAAAACTATCCATTCCAGCACATAATCCTTCACCCAATCCCAACAAAACACACATATTGCATGCAGGCCAACCCCATAGTTAAAGCCGCCCCCTACTATGATTTGTTGTTTTTATTTTATTCATTTTTCTTTGTTAGATGTTCTGAAATTGGCCTCATTTCATTTCTGTTTTCTTTGTCCTCTTAGTAAATTTCTGTTTTCTTCACAGCTAGCTTAGGTCATAGTTCAATTTTCTTAGGGTTTTTCTTCTTCATTTCTGGTTTTAGATCTTAAGGAGAAGAGGAAGGAAGTTTATGACCCATACCTTACAAATCTAGCTAGGTTTGAGGAAGGTTTGACAGTGTTCTTCCTCCTCTCCTGCTGGTTTTCTTCCTTCTTCTTCCACTCACGCTGGTTCCCTTCTCCTTTCTCTCTAGGTGGTTGTCCAATCTTCTCTCAAGGTCTCCTCTCTCTCCCTCACATGTTCACAAGGCTTAGGTTTCTGTTGGGGAGGAGAAAGGGAGAGTAACAAGCAGCTGGACATATAGCTGCAGCAACTTTGATAAAAGCTAGGGTTACCTTCTCTCTCCTCCTTATATTTATACTCCCCATTAAATGAGGTAGGTGTTTGGGGGTTGGTTTAGATGTGTTCTTATCCTTGTTTTGGTCTATCTAAAACTACTTTTACCCCTCCCTCTCAACTCCTCAAGAAAATTATTATTATTATATTTTTTAAGATAAAAACTGCATCGCTGCCGATGCAGAAATCGACAGCGAGAAGTGCTTCGCTGCAGATGCAGAAATCGACAACGAAAACTGCATCGCTGTTGATGCAGAAATGGGCAGCGGAAACTGCTTTGCTACAAATGCAAAAATCAGCAGCAGAAACTGCGTCGCTGCCGATCGAGAAATCGGTAGCGAAAACTGCTTCACTACAGATGCAGAAATCGGCATCAGAAGCTGCGTCACTCTCGATGCAGAAATCGGCAGCAAAAACTGCTTCGCTACAAATGTAGAAATCGGCAGCAGAAACTGCGTCACTGTCGATGCAGAAATCGGTAGCGAAAACTGCTTCACTACAGATGCAGAAATCGGTAGCAGAAACTGCGTCGCTGCCAATCGAGAAATCGGCAGCGAAAACTGCTTCATCAGTTCTGTCTATATATATATATAGATATAGATATATTTTTCTTTTGGGTGTTTACATTCTCCCCCCCTTAATAGGAATTTCATCCTCGAAATTTAAGAGGTTTCATATTGCATACCTGGTAGTTCAAATAAATTAGGGTACTTTTTCCTCATCTCAGCCTCCCTCTCCCAAGTTTCCTCTTCTACTTGAGCATTTCGCCATAAGATTTTGACGATGGGGATCTTTTTGCTCCGTAGTTCCTTCACTTCCTGATCAAGTATCCTTATGGGCCTCAATTCTAGTGTTAGTCTTCCTTGACTTCTAATGGAACCTAGGGTAGGATTCGGGTGGGGTCCACGTCAGCCTTTCTTAACAATGAAACATGGAACACATCATGGACCTTGGCTAACTGTGGGGGCAAGTCCACTTTGTAGGCTACTGGTCCTACTCGCTATAAGATTTTGAAGGGTCCAATGAAGCGGGGAGTTAGCTTCCCTTTCAATCCAAACTGTAACATATTCTTCCATGGGGCTACCTTCAGGAATACCTGGTCCCCTGTACTGAACTCGAGAGGTCTTCTCCTCACATTAGCATACTTCTTCTGTCTATCATGTGCGGCTTTGATGCGATCCTTGATAGTTCTCACTTTCTTCGTGGTGACTTGGACCAATTCTGCACCATATAACTTCCGGTCCCCGATTTCCTCCCAACATAAAGGAGTTCTGCACCTCCTACCATACAAGGCTTCATATGGGGCCATCCCTATTATGGCTTGGTGACTATTGTTATACGTGAACTCCACTAATGCCATGTGTTCCTCCCAGTTTCCTCCAAATTCTAAAACACAGGCCCGTAATAGGTCTTCCAAGACTTGGATGATTCTTTCTAACTGGTCATCCGTTTGAGGGTGAAACGCAGTGCTCATGTCCAATCTTGTTCCCAAGGCATGTTGTATGCTTGGCCAAAGTCAAGACGTGAACCTGGGATCTCGATCCGATACAATGGACACTGGAATCCTATGAAGCCGTACCACCTCATTTATATAAATCTTGGCAAGCTTGTCCACCGAGTCAGTCATCTTTATAGGCAAGAATAGTGCGGATTTCGTCAATCGATCTATGATAACCCATATCGCGTCATTTCCTTTCCTCCTTTTGGGAAATCCTGACACGAAATCCATGGTGATCATCTCCCACTTCCATTCTGGAATTTGTAATGGTTGTAATGATCCCGTAGGCCTTTGGTGTTCAACCTTGACATGTTGACATATCCCATACTTAAACACATACTTAGCTATTTCCCTTTTCATATTAGGCCACCAATAGAGGTGTTTCAAGTCTCGATACATCTTAGTGCTGCCAGGATGTATGGAGAATCGAGACTCATGTGCTTCTTGTAGAACCATTCGTTTGACTATTTCGTCACTAGGCACGTATAACCGTTGTCCCATCATCAAGGATCCATCATCCGCTACTCGGAATTTCATTTCTATTCTGGCCTCCACATTCTTCCTAATCTTACACCCCTCCTTGTCATGGAATTGGGCATGTAGTATTTGTTCCCAATACGTTGGTCGCACCAATAATAGGGCTACTAACCCACCTCCGACATTAATGTCCAAATCTACACCCATCTCTTTCAATTCCGCCAATTGCCGCTCCTTTCCCATTATTAACCTTCCCAAGGTGGCTTTATTTTTGCGACTGAGGGCATCTGCCGCCACGTTTGCTTTCCCCGGATGGTATTCTATGGTGTAGTCATAATCCTTAATGAGCTCTATCCACCTTTTTTGTCGCATGTTCAACTCCTTTTGCGACATCAGATACTTCAGACTCTTATGATCAGTAAAAATTTGGGTTTGAGACCCATACAAATAGTGTCTCCATATCCTCAAGGCAAAAACTACAGCAGCCAACTCCAGGTCGTGCACTGGGTAGTTCACCTCATGAGTCTTTAACTGTCTTGATGTATAGGTGATCACTTTCCCATGCTGCATCAGAACACACCCCAATCCCTTCCCCGAAGCATCACTATATACCACAAAACCCTCGGTCCCTGAGGGAAGGGACAACACTGAAGTAGTGGTGAGCCTCCTCTTAAATTCTTGGAAGCTTTTCTCACATTCTTCTAACCACACCCATTTCTTATTCTTCCTAGTTAGCTGGGTCAAAGGGGTTGCAATCAAGGAAAAAGCTTTGATGAACCTCTGATAGTATCTTGCAAGTCCCACGAAGTTATGTATTATGGTGACTGAAGTTAGTCTTTCCCATTTCAAGACTGCCTCAACTTTTTGGGGGTCTACAAAAACACCTTCGGCTGAAATGACATGTCCCAGAAACGTCACTCTCTTCAACCAAAATTCACATTTACTCAGTTTTGCATATAACCGGTGATCTCTCAAGGTTTGTAAGGTTTGTCTCAAGTGTTCTTCGTGCTCCTCAAAAGAATTCGAGTACACCAGTATATCGTCAATGAACACCACCACAAACTTATCAAGATATGGTTGGAAAACTCGATTCATCAAGTCCATGAAGAGGGCTATGACGTTCGTCAACTCGAACGGTAGCACCTAAAATTCATAGTGTCCGTAATGAGTTCTAAATGCAGTCTTTGCTACATTCGCTTCTTTAATCTTCATCTGATAGTACCCTGATCTCAGATCTATCTTTGAAAATGCTCTCGCTCCCTTTAAGTGATCAAACAAATCATCTATCCGAGGTAATGGATACTTGTTTTTCATTGTTATCTTGTTCAGTTGTCGGTAGTCAATACAAAGTCTTTGGGTTCCATCTTTCTTTCTTACAAACAACACCGGTGCTCCCTATGGAGAATTACTAGGCTGTATGAACCCTTTGTCTAACAATTCCTGTAGTTGAGTCTTTAATTCGTTCAATTTTGCTGGAGCCATCCGATATGGTTGTTAGGCTATAGGTGGGACTCCAGGAAAAGTGTCTATAGACACTTCTACCTCTCGCTCCGGGGGTAGTCCCGGTAGTTCTTCAGGAAACACATCTGGGAATTCCTTCACCACAAGAATATCCTTCAGTCGTGGACCTTCATCATCACAGTTTAAGATGTATACAAGGTATCCTATACATCCCTTTCTTAAAAGTTTTTGGGCTGTTACCACCGATATCAAGGCAATTGGTTTGAGAATTATCTCTCCTTCAAAAATCATTCTCTCGCCCTTAGGGGTTTGGAAAGTAACAGTTTTAGCATAACAATCTATTAGAGCCTTGTCTTTACTCAACCAATTCATGCCTATGATTATGTCAAAATCATGCAGCTCTAAGGGAATCAAGTCTACTTTTGTTTCATACCCAGATATACTAACCCCCACATTCACATACACAATATTTGTTTCAACCATGTTTCCCATTGGAGTTCCAATTAAGAATCCCTTCTCTACTTTTTCTACTCCCTTTCTTAGTTTAGTGACAATTCTCTTAGTAATGAATGAGTGGGTGGCACCCGGATCAAACAACACATGCACATTAAAATCAGTCAATAGTAGTGTACCTGCCACCACATCTGATGCAGCCCTGACCTCCTCCTATGTCAGGTGGAAGACCCTCCCCGAGGTCCTATCATTTTGTGCCCTCGGTCTCCCTCGACTAGAGTTTGCTCCTGATTGAGAAGATCTCACTGGCCTATTCATGGTGACTAACTATTATTGGCTCTGGCTGGGTTGCCTATAGCTTTGTACTGTCCAGTGTTCCTTTTTGGGCAGTCCCTCTTGAAATGACCTTTTCCGCCACAGTAATGACACCCTTGACTCAAATACTGGTAGTTCCTCTACCTATGACCTTCTCCTTTGCACACAAAGCATCGCCCAGGGGAAACTGAGCAGTCCCCAGGGTGTTTTTGCCCACATTTCATACAAAAAGGATAGTCAATACCCTTGCGGTCACCAGTCCCAGTTGAAGAGCTTTCCCTCGAGCGCAACCATCCAACCATCACTCTCCCACTTGACTGTTGGTGGGGCGGTAACTTCAAACTCCCCTTCTTTTTGTACTGCTCAAACACTCCACTTTTTCCTTTCTTCGGGAGTGGTGGTCTGCTGCTGAAAACGTCCCCATCTCTCTTTTTGCCTATGCCATGATATCCCCCTTGGCCTTCTCCAATACAAGCCTCCAAAGCTTGGGCAGCCTCAATCAACTCTCTCACTGATTTAAATCGTAAGGCGATCAATCCTTGTCTCAAGTCCTATCACAAACCATCTCTCAACTTCTCAATCATATGTTCCTCTATTGGCACATAGTGTGGGGAAAATAATGAGAGATCATGGAACTTCCTTTCGTACTCCAATACCGACATATCACCCTGTCTTGATGCCAATAACTCTTGTTCTTTCACCTTACGATGGTACCTGGAATAAAACTGATTCTCAAACTCTGTCTTGAAATCACTCCAAGTTAGTGTCTCGGTTGCACACCTCAGCTGAACTGTTTCCCACCATGTCATAGCCCTATCAGACAATAACTGGGTTGCACAGTTTACCCTCAACCCCTCGGGTATGCTTATTTGAACCATGGTCTTTTCTACCTTCCTAATCCATCTTCCAGCTATCTCTGCATATTGTTCCCCCATATACGGTTCATAACCCATTTCCCTCATACTCTTGACTAGTCGCACCGATGGCACCACATTATATGTAGTCATGCTTGTCATAGGGGTTGCTTATGGAATTTGAGTGGTGGGAGTTCCTTGTGTCACCGAACCTGCCATGCCCTCCATCACTGCTTTAACTATTTGTACAAGGAGTCCCGGGTCTACATATTGTGGGGGCACACTAGTTGGAATAGTCGATGGTTGTGCTTCTGATCTTTCTTGCTGTGCTGTTGCAACTGGGGATACTTCCTCTGTTTGGTTAGACCTCCCGCCATCCCCCACTACCGCAGCTTCCCCCTGTAAGGTTTCGGGTGGTACTACAGGAGCATGAGATGTTGTATCATCCAAGGGATCTTCGTCTTGCCAACCTTGGGCACCTTGGTTCCCGCCCCTCCTATCTAAGGAGGGCGGCTCAGTTCGTGTCCCTTGTCGGGTGCATACCATCCTAAAATTTACCACACCAGCACAATTATCAGTGATCCCCAGGACCTAAACCAGGGGCTCTAATACCAACTATAACAACCCAGCTTTTCAAGCCCCAAAACAACAGAATTTTTTTTTTCTTTGACACACATCGTGTCGGTAAATTGCGAACCTATTTTCCTCACATCATCAAAATGCAATCCATACATCAACAACATTCAACATTTCATTTAAAAGGGAAATTTACATAAACATATAATATTATGTTTGCATGCTTAGAAGTTCATATTATAATATTACATCCATAGACATGAGTTTGCATTCCTATCCTACTAATAGTCACCACGAATTTAAACAAAAGGGTTCAATAAAATTTATATGTTTAATACATTAATCCATACAAAATACATCGTGATTTAGGATGCAACTACATGATTCCTTACAAAAGTAGGTTCCCGTGTATCGGGTTTCCTAGGCATCTCGTTGATGTGATGTCCCTGTTGCAGTGCAAAATATTTAAGAGAATGTAATTGCTTATTAGTAATAATGATAATTAAATGTTCTAGCAGGAAAATTGAGCACAAAAGAAAGGTTTATTAATATCTTGTTAAGAGGTATTGAGCAGATATATAAATTTAATGAGAGTTTGTTTATCTGGATAGATTAATGGAAGTTAAATGATGAATACCTTGCTTTGTGAAATTTGCAAATTGTTTTAACGCTTTGATTACTAGGGACTAGTAATAAGCTGGTTGGGGGGTGTGATTAGTACTTAAAAGTGCATTTTTATCATGGTTTTATATCATCATTTTGCACTTGAAGTATCAATAACTCCTTAACTAAAGCATGTTTTATAATAATATATCTAATAATATAAGATACCTTTAATTTGTGGTAAACGTTCATTTTAAATGCAGGCCTATCACATAAATGAAAGGATTGATTGATGAATTTAAGAACTTAAATTGCAAGGGCAAAAAGATGACCAAAATTAGAAAAGAGATGTCGGTGCAATCCAAACCGGAACACTGTTCAGTAATTGGGTCATATCTAGAGCTATAGATCTCAAATTTAGGTCTACTTTATATGGATGGAAAGGTAAGACATAGGCCTACAACTTTCATATGGAGCCTAAGATCTAAAAAGGCCATTTTCAAGTCCAAATTGTAGCAACAACAAAGAAGCCCGAAGTTGTCCTCCAGCCCGAGCACTGTTCAGATTTTGGCCATATCTAGAGTTCTAGATGTCCAAATGAGCTGAAGTTTTTACACAAGAAAGCTGAGACAATTGCCTCCAACTTTCATGTTTTCGAGTGGCTCTCATTTTGATGTTATCAATGACGTTTTGGGCAGACAAGAGAAGATAAGGATTGTCACCAAGTCAAGAGTTGGCTACCCACTCATCAATTAGTCATCAAATCAATAGTTTCCAATTTTGGCCTATAAAAGGAGGCTTTCATTATGCTTTGCTTTCATTAATATCAAGTTTCTTTCATTTCCTTTCCTTTACTTAGTTAACTCTTATCTTATTTATGTTTTTATTTTGTTTATCTATTTTTCTTTCTTTCATTATGTTTAGCTAAGTTTATTATGTCAAGGTGAAAAGGTTACATTAATGGTGTAAGAATAAGTATAGTGCAAAATTGTTGTTACTATGATGGCAGAGTAAGGAGAACTTTTAGTAATCATTCTTAACAAGGTCTATTATAATACTTCTTGAAATATTCAGGTTTACAAACTCTCGCATTGTTATCACTTAATTCTGCTCACATACTTATTTAACATGTATTCTTAAACCTTAATTTACACACACACACTTTAACATATGATTGTGGGTTGCATATTGGATTATTACATTATTTATGTTCTTTTGTTAAAGGTAACAACTAAGGAAAAGGGATTGTATATAATTAAGAAAAAAAAATGAAAAAAAAACAAAGAAAAAAAGAAAAAAAAATGATGATAATAAAAATGTAGATAAGTTTGATTTCGTAGCCTCCCTAACCTAAGCAATTAAGCCCGAAGGGGTGTTTTAACACCTAATACCCTAAAGTCAACTGACTTGGGAGCTATTGGCCCAACGCTTGTTACATGGGTTGAGGAGAAAAGCTTAAGGGAATCAAACATTGCACTATCTACATATCAGTATCTGCGACCCGAGTTACTAAGCTCGTAGGGGTGTCTTAACACCTAATGCCCTAAGACCAACTGGTCTGGGAGTCATTAGCTAAAAGCTCGTTACATGGGTTAAAGATGCATGCTGTTTTTAAATTATATGTATATATATTTAAAAAAAAAGAAAAAAAAAGAAAAAAAAAAGACAAAAATAATAATCCCAACCCAAGGAAGTTAACCTTAAACATTAGAACAAAAATTTTGTTTTCTTCCAAGAAAAGCCCCATAATTATATGTTGATACATTGAGCACAAAAGAAAGGTTTATTAATATCTTGTTAAGAGGTATTGAGCAGATATCTAAATTTAATGAGAGTTTGTTTATCTGGATAGATTAATGGAAGTTAAATGATGAATACCTTGCTTTGTGAAATTTGCAAATTTGTTTTCTATTTTAACGCTTTGATTACTAGGGACTAGTAATAAGCTGGTTGGGGGGTGTGATTAGTACTTAAAAGTGCATTTTTATCATGGTTTTATATCATCATTTTGCACTTGAAGTATCAATAACTCCTTAACTAAAATATGTTTTATAATAATGTATCTAATAATATAAGATACCTATAATTTGTGGTAAATGTCTATTTTTAATGCAGGTCTATCACATAAATGAAAGGATTGATTGATGACTTGGAGAACTTAAATTGCAAGGATAAAGAGATGGCCAAACTTAGAAAATAGATATCGGTGCAATCCAAACCGGAACACTGTTCGGTAATTGGGTCATATATAGAGCTATATATCTCAGATTTAGGTCCAATTTATATGGATGGAAAGGTAAGACATAGGCCTACAACTTTCATATGGAGCCCAAGATCTAAAAAGGCCATTATCAAGTCCAAATTGTAGCAACAACAAAGAAGCCTGAATCTGTCTTCCAGCCCGAGCACTGTTCGGTATTTTGGCCATATCTGGAGTTCTAGAAGTCCAAATGAGCTGAATTGTTTACACAAGAAAGCTTAGACAATTGCCTACAACTTTCATGTTTGCAACTGGCTTCAATTTTGACGTTATCAATGACGTTTTGGGCAGACAAGAGAAGATAAGGATTGTCACCAAGTCAAAAGTTGGCCACCCACTTATCAATTAGTCATCAAATCAATAGTTCCCAATTTTGGCCTATAAAAGGAGGCATTTGCCATGCATTTAGGCATCTTGGTTTCCAGATCAAGATCATGCTCTTCCTTTCTCTCTTTGTATTTTTTGTAATTGTTCAACACAATAATGAACCCAAAAAGGTAATGATGATCCTAAACAAGTCTCATTCACATACGAATGCAAGTTTTTTTTTTTTTTTTTAACAAGCATGGTTATCTCAAGCATTCAACATAATGAAATATCTAAAATTAAGTTTTACATTATCCTCAATGTAAAAGAGAAAGAGAAGAAAAGTATAAAGATTAGAAAATTGTTACTCCCCTTCTGTTTTCAAGGATGAATGTCTGATTGAATTGGGCATGAGCTGACTTCTTGCTTGATTTTTTTTTTAACCTGCATATCACAACTAAAAGAAAACATTGATGGTTTTTTTTTTTGAAAATAAAGAACCTCACACCCCCCAACTTAAAATAATGCATTGTCCCAAATGCATGAACAAGAAAATATAAGAGATGGAAGAAAGAAGAAAAAAAATAAAAATGAAAAAAAATAATAAAAATGAAAAATAAAAATAAAAATAAAAACTCATTACTTCTAATACTACAATGGTATTGGATCTTCAAGATCCAATATCTCAACTTCAGCCACAACGTTTTCAAGATAAGGTTTCAATCGATGACCATTTATTTTGAAAATATTTCCATTCTTGGGATTTTCTACCTCAAATGCACCATGCTTAGAGATGGATTTAATCACAAATGGACCAATCCATTTTGTCCTCAACTTCCCAGGAAAGAGATGTAATCGTGAATTATACAAGAGAACCTTTTGACCAACATGAAAGGATTTTCTAAGAATATGTTTATCATGCAAAGTTTTCATCTTATGTTTTGAAATTTTTGCATTTTCAAATGCAGCATTTCTCAACTCCTCTAATTCATCCAATTGAAGCTTTCTATTTTTGCCAACCTCGTTTTCATTGTCATTGAATTGCCGAATGACCCAATATGCACGGTGCTCAATCTCAACAGAGAGATGACAAGGCTTTCCATAAACTAGCCTATAAGGAGACATTCCTAAAGAGGTCTTATAAGCAGTGTGATATGCCCACAAAGCATCAACTAGTCGTAGGGACCAATCTTTACGGTTTGGATTGACTGTTTTCTCTAAAATGTTCTTGATCTCCCTATTTGCCAACTCAGCTTGGCCACTAGTTTGTGGATGATAGGGGGTACTGACCTTGTGAATTACACCATATTTTCTCATCAAAATCCCAACGGGTTTGTTACAAAAATGTTTTCCCCCATCACTAATCATAGCCTGGGGCATGCCAAAATGAGAGAAAATATTTTCTTTCAAAAATTTGACCACAACTCGATGGTCATTGGTTCGAGATGCAATGGCCTCCACCCATTTAGACACATAATCAACAGCTACAAGGATAAATTGGTAACCAAATGAACTTGGAAAAGGTCCCATGAAATCAATCCCCCAACAATCAAATATTTCCAAAACAAGGATGGGGTTAAGGGGCATCATGTTGCGCCTAGTGAGGCTACCTAGTCATTGGCATCGGTCACATGCAACACAGAAGGCATGAACATCTTTAAACATGGTGGGCCAATAAAAACCACACTGCAAGATTTTGGCAATGGTTTTCTTGGAAGAGAAATGCCCACTACAGGCTAATGCATGACAAAAATTAATGACACTTGGAATTTCATGATCAGGGATGCACCGCCTAATAATT